GAGCTGCTTCAGGCCTCGAAAATCGATATGTAAGGATATATCACTTAGATGTAAGTAAGTACTTGCAGTTCTAGCCTTTTTGAGACTGGTGAGCTGCTTCTTCGGACTTGCTGCGATACGGTGTACGGTTTTGATCTCCCATTTATGGGATGTACACTGGACGAAAACTTGGTTTCACTAATGTTAGCTTACTAGCAGCCAGATATATCACTTACAGACAGGGATTAGAGTGTCAGACCCGCTGTTTCCTGTTTTTATCAATAGGAGGACTGTGACTTTGACGCGTGACATAACCACGCGTCCGTTACAGTTAATCAGCTTTTGTCACGAAAAAGTATCTTACCGTAAAAATATGTTTACAATCCGTTTTCGCGTGAATTTTTGACGCGATATATACTTAGAAAGATGATTTCTAAGTTTTGGTCAGAGGAATTGTGATTCCGTGTATTCAATGTGTACTTTCTAATTTCTATCTCCGTCAAATTTGGGCATAGTAGAAATCCCTGACCACATCCTAGATTATTATAAAAAAATACATTCTACCTATAAGACTTGAGTGTCTAACTTTGTTTAAACAGATTTCGATGGGGCGGACAGTCGTCTCTGCAAGATATTGTGGCAGTGCTGCTTAGTCACTAAGCGAGCTTGGCTGGGATTGCCCACCACCAGTATTAGTACAAGTCTACTCTGAGTTAAAGCAGCCGACACAAGGCCCCAGAACAGTGAGCTCTACCGGCGTTATAGCCAAGTGGTTAAGGCAACAGACTAAGTTCCATTGACAATAGCAAGTCTGTACCCCTCAGAGGGCGCAGGTTCAAATCCTGCTGGCGCCATAAAGACGTTATGAAGCTATCGTTTTTACTTTTACCTCCATATGACCAGCTCACAACAAGACAGTGCCTTTAAGAAGTTGGAAGGAGGGTCAAGAGAGGCTGGAAGCCGTCGATTGTTTGATACGCAGTGCAAAAACGAAAAAAAAACGAGTACCCTAAAGTTGAGCTTAAAACCGATGCCATTACACCTTAAACCGTTGCCTTCGTCCCAACCAACCGCCTGCACCCTATGCATTCAACTCCCGTTTTGTCCCCTCAGTTCGTCAACGAAAGCAATTTGAACGGGTATAAAAATCAGTCGCGTGATATATAAAGCCGCTAAGATTAACAGTATCAGCAACATCTGGAGTTATTATACTCACCTCCAAGTTGAGTCGACTGTACGCCTGCTTTTGACTAGCCGCGAGGGGGGAGGGGTGCTGCGACCACGTGAGCCAGATGGACCGGGACGCGGTGTGTTTGCCTGCCAACCAGAGATTGGTGGGAGAGTGCTAAACGGGGCAGCGGTCTGGTCGTCGTAAGTCGTTCCATGTACATATTGGGGATACTCCCCTGTCGCCGGGTCAGCATAGCGGTTTAAATATGCTGCCGGGGTTTCTACTCGGCGGTATGGGCCTGGCGCTGGAACTAGGCGGCTGAATGGGTCCATGGTATTGCTCCGTATGTACGACGCGCTCCCCGTCATCGTAGGCGAAAAAACGGTCCGCATAAGGTCAGGTAGCAGCGTCGGATCCTGCTCAGGTTGGACACCTCGAGGAGGGAGCTGATACGTTCGAAAGTCAAGGTCGTCGCGTTGAATGTGATGTTCTTCAGAGGGAGTTGCCCTGTGTGTTCGCCGGACGTGATCAGTGAACGCCATGTCGGCCGTTGTGCTAACCGAAGTCAGCAGTTGATCCCTTCCATCGCTCTGAACTGTGATACCATGGAAATTTGGTGCCTCGATTGGAGTGGAATATGCCTGGATGCTTGATTGAGCGATAGGCCCTGGGCCAGGAAGCGTTCGAGACGATGTGCTTTGATGGACGTTGGTGAGGGCGAAGTGATAAGCGGCTGCAGGCGGGGGTGCACCTGGACGGATTGCAGGCGGGGGTGCACCTGGACAGATTGCAGGGCCATCAGGAGGGGATATATCACGGCGTCCACGGCGGGTAAGAGCGCTGAGGTCACAGGTGACTTCTTCAATGTGGCTAAGCTGAGGCTCGGGGGAGGGAGGAGGCTCAGAAGAGGGGGTTCTTAAGAACCGTGATCCTGCGAGGTTAGCGACGTGCGCATAGCATCGGACTCGGTGTGGGGCATACTCGCCAGGCATACCGCGATTAGCCCACTCTGGCAACTGAGCAAACTCTGGATCAGAAGGGTCGATACGGGTGTTGAGATAGGCGTTAGTATGAGCGACGGCATGCTCCTCTTCTTCTTCGTCGGACGCATCACAGTGCGGTGACGTCCGCACGGCATATTCTGATTCAGGATAGTTAGGATAGTTAGGATAGTTATGTGAGTCTGACTCTTCAAGTTCTGATTCGTCGGGTTCCTGCGTGCCACGGTGCGGTGACGTCCGTGCCCGTCGGGACGTCCGCACGGGGGCTGAGAGCGGTTGGCTTGGGGCATACTAGCTATAAAGTAGGTTGGCAGAAAGAAGGAGATTGTAGAGATAGGAGAGATGTGAATCGATAACCCGTTGAGAAAACGGTTCGTGGCAGCACAAACGCCAGTTTCGAACGTTCCGACGGGTTTGGAAGAAAGATGAAGGGCTAGAGCATTATAACTCACCGGTATTGTGCTTGAGATGGGGGTTGAGATGGAGGATTGAGTGTATAAGAACAACGTGTTGCGCATTTGTTTATTACTACTACCATTGTCACATGAACATGCGTCGCTATTTCTTACTATTAGTATGAGTACAAGACAGTGCCTCGCTTCGGCACGCCTTTAAGAAGTTGGAAGGATGGTAAAGAGAGGCTGGAAGCCTGTCGATTGTGTAATACGCAGTACAGAATTTAAAAAAAGAGTATCCTAAAGTTGAGCTTAACACCGATGCCATTACACCTTAAATGTTTAAACCGTTGCCTTCGTTCCAATCAACCGTATGTACCCTATGCATTCAACTCCCGTTTTGTCCCCTCAGTTCGTCGACGAAAGCAATTCGAACGGGTATAAAAATCAGTCGCGTGATCTATAAAGTTGCTAAGATTAACAGTATCAGCAACATCTGTATTATACTCACCTCCAAGTTGAGTCGACTGTACACCTGCTTTTGATTAGCCGCGAGGGGCACCGCGACGGGGAGGGCCACCGGGACCATGTAAGCCAGATGGACCGGGACGCTGTGCGTTTGCCTGCCAACCAGAGATTGGTGGGAGAGTGCTAAACGTGGCATTGGTCTGGTGGTCGTAAGTCGTTCCATGTACATATTGGGGATACTCCCCTGTCGCCAGGTCAGCATAGCGGTTTAAATATGCTGCCGGGGTTTCTACTCAGCGGTATGGGCCTGGCGCTGGAACTAGGCGGCTGGATGGGTCCATGGCATTGCTCCGTATGTACGGCGTGCTCCCGTTCATCGTAGGCGAAAAAACGGTCCGCGTAAGGTCAGGTAGCAGCGTCGGATCCTGCTCAGGTTGGGCATCTCGAGGAGGGAGCTGATACGTTCGAAAGTCAAAGTCGTCACGTTGAATGTGGTGTTCTTCAGAGGGAGTTGCCCTGTGTGTTCGCCAGACGTGATCAGTGAACAGCATGTCGGTCGTTGTGCTAACCGAAGTCAGCAGTTGATCCCTTCCATCGCTCTGAACTGTGATACCATGGAAATTTGGCTCATCGACTGGAGTGGAATATGCCTGGATGCTTGATTGAGCGATAGGCCCTGGGCCAGGAAGCGTTCGAGACGATGTGCTTTGATGGACGTTGGTAAGGGCGAAGCGATGAGTGGCTGCAGGCGGCGGTGCACCTGGACGGATTGCAGGGTCATCAGAACGGCGTATATCACAGCGTCCGCGGCGGGTAAGAGCGCTGAGGTCGCGGGTGACTTCTTCAATGTGGCTAAGCTGAGGCTCGGGGGGGGAGGAATCTGTTAAGAGGCCTCGTGGTGCTGCAAGGTTGAGGCGGCCCTCTTGGGCTCGGAATATGGCATGGTCGTGAGGCGTACCGCGAGTAGCCCGCTCTGTGAATTGAGTAAAATTTTGTTCAGAAGGGTCGGCGTGTTGTATAGCACGATGGGTCATTGGATAGTAGATACCATATTCTGATTCAGGTTGGTTTTGTGAGTCCGACTCTTCAAGTTCTGGTTCGTCGGACTCCTGCGTGTCACGGTGCGGTGACGTCCGCACGGGCGGCTGAGGGCGGTTGGCTTGCGACATCCTAGCTACTAAAGTAGGTTGGCGGAAAGAAGGAGGTTGTAGAGATTGGAGAGATGTGAATCGATAACTCTTTGAGAAAACGGTTCGTATGGGTTGGCAATGCGGACTATGATGGGCTGACTTAGACTCCGGGAAGCGTCAGGAAAGAGCTGCTGTAACTCTCGATCTGTCACAGATGCGTCGAACGGTAGCTGTTGCTCCTTAAGGAGGAGGAGAGGGCTGTTCATTCAAGTGCAGTTCTTGGGCGGGCACCGAAGGGGGGTGAAGATAAGGTAAAAAAAACACGGTATTTATGCTGTGAGCTGCTGCTTCTATAGAACATTCTCAGCTGTCTGAGTTTGAAGTACACAGTTTCACCCCTAGTCAAATAGGGAAAGATCCAAGCCCGATTACAGTATCAGCACGACAGAATCCTCTGTTTGAGCAGTTTCCCCTTCACTCTGGCTGCTCACATTTCATGAACAACACAAGTGGATGACCCTCAACAGTGCTAGCAGCTTAGAATAGGATGGGTTTTTCAGAGATATTTTCTTTTTGGGGTGAAATCATTTTATGTCTTACAAAGGTGTCGAAGAGGCTCTTCTATCCAGTATTTTTGGAAGTGGAGATAGTACACAGGAAGTGGAGATAGTATATTCCTAAAAATACCCGTGGACATACGGACAGCTAATGCACGCAAGAGCCTCTCACCCGTGATCAATGGCGTCAAGCAGCAACCAGTAATGTAGAGTATATATGACTTGTGGTTACGTATCTCTTCCAATACTTAGGCCAAACTTAGGCTATCTACACATTCGAGAATGGTCTCTCAAATACCCACCTCGTCTTGTTAGTGATGCGCAGTGTTGGGGTGATGACAGTGCTGGAGTGATGACAGCGTTGGAGTGATGACGGCGTTGGAGTAGCGTTGGAGTGATTGATCTGTCGAGTATCCGCCAATGATACGGTTAGAGATGCTATGGCCGGGCGGCCTTGTCACCTGTCTTTGACCTCTCAGTGAACTCCCCGTCGCCAAAAACACATACTTATGCATTCTGGTTGATGTTTTCGGTCCAAGTAGCTAATTTGTTACGAGTTGTATTTTTCTTATTCAAAGTACCAATTATTATTTTTCACATGTGTCATAGCCTTGCCACAGCTTTGACACAGATTCCCACTAGGCTGTGTTAGTTCTACTGACTCATAAACAATTTACTTACTACTGACTCTACATGACTCAGTAATACAATTTAGTTACTACTGACTCTAGATGACTCACTTATCTCAGACAAGTATATAAAGAGTAGAGTTACAGCCTGTACCTTAGCTCGTTATTTTGCAACAATGGTCCTTATTGACTAGCTCAAGCATATTCAAGTCCCAACAGTGTTTACGGCTCACTATTAAAACCCCTCGACATTATCATTTTCAGCCACAATCCATACCTTTTCACTACGGATCAACCCATTCCCACGTTTGCCGCTGCTTCTGCCGAAGCGGACCCCCAAAGGACCTGGATTCGTGCCCGGAATAGCACGGTTCCTAACATAATAACGAGCTCTCCCCTGCTTCCAGTTGCAGCAGCAAACCGCTCGTCACTCAAACTCACAATAATCCTCTAGAAAATCCTAATTTCTCAACACTACATAATTCAACACTCTCCATTACCAC